GTTACAGAGATTGGGGTGCAGAGTAGCGGGCTGCGGCACGGCAACTCGAAGTTATGTTCGGGAGGCCACTAGACGATCTAGTGGTTTGATCATTTTTCAACAACAACAAAAAGTTGCCTCCCATGAGACAACAAAAACACGCATGTGATTATCTTCGGATACTTCCTATCTAGAAAAGGTAGCACTTGCAAACTAACTGCTAATCTAAACTATGCATGCATGGTTTTCAGATGTTATTTTTTTGTCCAACATGAAAAAATAGCCGTGTGGTGTGGGTCTTGATTTCTATGTCATAACTGGCAAACGCGCTTGCAGTTATTGACCCAACTGAGATGTGTGGCTTTGTCAAAAGTAATTTTCGGTACATTCGCATTTCAAAAACAATGAAAAAACAAAATCACCTCAGAAAAAAAACTTTACCCGACCCAGAAACTTTACTCTCCATGAGAAAATGCGGATAACTAGAAATTGCAAACAAAAGAATATTCCGAGGGAAGAATGAATGATAAAGAAAGAAAAAAACACTCTGAAGAAAAAAAGAAATCGCAAGTTATAGGAAAACGCCCGTGTGAGAAAACATGGGAAAACGTTTGCTTTGCAATAATAATAGATGCTGTAAATAAACAATATATAGTTTGTGACCTACGAAAACGTCTTGAAAATCAAGACTATAACAGTTGCTTGGTCCCATATCAAATCCCCAAAGAAAAGACACATTTTGACAAAATAAGCCGACTATCTTCATGTATGCGTTCACTGGTCATCAAACAAATCCTCTCACAAAGAGATGATTCCCTCATCATATCCGTTACAAGGAGATTGTTGCCCCAACACTCGATCATGATACCTTGTTCCATTGGGGATAAACCCCAACAAAAGGAACGGAACCTAATTTACTAGACAGCGCAAGAGGGAGTTTTGTTGTGGGGGGTAGACGGTGGGTCCACAACGGGTCCGATGTAATCACATGAAGGGGCACAATCACCGGTGATAATCACCTGACCGAGGAATGATCCTCGGTAGGTTACCCTGACGAGGACGTTGCCTTCTACACAGAGGATTTAGGTTTTAGTGTCTCCAAATTCCATTCAGTTATCAGGGAAAAAAATCTTTGTTTTGTGGCGTCGAATCCAGGTGTCAGGTCCCTTAACAAAAGAAGCAGTACAGTGGCTTGAGAAAACAACTTTGATTTGCGACTGTTAATTCTTGTTATTGGACAGAACTGCGACACAATCTAAATCGGAATTACTAGCGAGGGAGATTTGGTCTCTTGGGTGTAATAAGGACGCGGATCAGACCGGCTCATTAAAGACTTCTTTTTGATCCTCGTGGATTGGATCAATCTTTACGCGGAAAGATGACTAGAACTGTATCAACTGCAGGCAATGAATCCAACTTAACCCCCAAATGAATAATCGGTGCGAAGCTCTTTTGTATGAATCGAGACTAGCCCATTGTGAAGCGACATGAAGATTTCAGGAGAGAAAAAACGAAGAAGCTAAGTCAAGAAAACAGAGTCTATTTAACGGGATTTGCAGCAAATTCCAATGAGAAATATAAAACAAGTAGGGCCTAAATGAGGTGCCAAACTTCATAACAAACCAAATAAAATGTCACCAATAAAGAAGTGTGAAAAGAGTGTCAATTTGTGAAATATTTCAGTATAACATATCAAAATTCCATACACGTCACCACACTCTGGAGGAACAAACAAAACAAAAGAATACAAGAATGCATTTGGTTGAGGATCGAACAACCATCAGCTTTCCAAAACAAGCCTTCTCCACCACCCGACCACCGAGTTTATGCTGAATTTACAGGAAGTGTTTTTAATTAGGATGAAAACAATAACAGATTTTGTTCTTAATTAGCAGATTGATTGAAAGGTCGGTTTTAGGCTTCAATATAAATTTTAGAGGCGACTACAATCCAACCAAGAAAGAACTGACTTCCCAGACAACACACACGAGCGTTCCCAAGGGGATTCGAACCCAGGACACAAGATACTCGGAAGGAGAGAAAAAACTTGATGGCACTTCATCCGAACCCTGCTACAAAAACACCGACGGACCGAAAAGGGCTTATCCAAAAAGTTGCATCCCCGCAACCTTTCATGAAAATAACAGTAAACTAATGAAGTACAGCTGTATAATATGAAGCAAACGGATTCAGCATTTCAGCTTGAAATATAATATTTCGGTCCAAGGCAAGTACATTTTAAAAACCTCGTACCTTTTTGCTTTTTACAGCTTTATCCCACCAGGCTTCATGAAAAATATGTTTAAAAACTAAAGTGCCCAAAAGTCAAAATATTAAATGTACTTTCAATCTCCGTGAAAAGGGGAATTGAACCTTTTTTCAAATCCGTTACCGGTAAAAATTGTATACGTTACTCGATATTTCTTTTCTTATGATAAGGACATGGCAAAACAGTTAAACGGAATTCGCTACTCCGTCGAGAAGTAATCGTGAAACGAGGTCGCTTTGTTAATAACATTATATTTGTAAGTATAATGCAAATTTAACCAATATTTTGGATAAAAATAACATTACCGTAGTTATGAAATTTGCTTTCTTCATCAACTATTTCTGACCTGCATTAAAAAAGTTTTAAAAATCTGAAAAAAATATGATGGAGAACAAATAAAAACACTGAAGACACGCAATCTGTCTGACATCAAATCGACATTCCCATTTTGTCGACATCAGTTTGATGTATTGATAATTACATGTACCCCCATCATCATTTTTCAGAGAAAACGTATGAGGCTCTTGTCATCAGACACGTTTATCTCATTTTTGTCGTGTCCAAAACAGTTCGTAAGGAATGACTTTTTGAATTTTTCAATGAGAATACATAGATATTTTCAATGCCGGAAGTCTGGTAGTGTGCGGACGTGACCAGATTGGGTCGTACTGACAAAAGTTCAAATGTTAAATATTCGAGTGATACAATGGAATCATGATTGATGGGAAACTAAATACATCTATTATTTTCTCATTTTGAAGTATGACCTCATGTTCGATCAAGTCAGAATGGTTATCGTAAACAAACCACCATTCTAGACGCCGAAATTTCGACAACTATTTGAAATCGACGATTCGTAAGAGAACTCAAATTTCTTCATTTCCCCATTCTCCGTCTTTCCTCTTAAAAGTGATAAAAAGGAATTTATTTCGGCCTTGTTTCAAGAGTTTTTTTTTCTGATTGGGCGGGCAATGTCTAGCTGTGACGTCATGGGCGGGTCAAGCTAAAATTGGGTATTATATGTAGGAATATGAGAGGTCTCAAAATTTAAAGTGGAACAAAAGTGTGGACAAATTTAGGTCAAATGGAGAGGTTACAATTACCCTTTTTTTACCAATGTTTTGCATGGTAACAAAATTCGATGATACACTGACAAAGTAATTTCATTTGAAGTGAGTCTTATTTTTTTCCTGAAAGTTGAATTCTGTAATATTGATTGGATACTGATTTGATGCAACAAGGATCCTGTAAGAGCCGGAAATATCATAAGCCCAATTCTGCTTAGTTCATGCGGTTTCAGACATAACCTTATTGCAAGTGGTTATACTTAAAGACACTACAAGATATTTTGTATCATTTTGTTGTATTACTACCTCAAAATTATTCCAAAATTATAGGGCCGTACCCTTTCCTCGGAATTGATTCTCTCTTATTTTTTGAGGGGCCACAATTTTTTCCGTATTTGTCGAGAAGGGACCGGCCATGTCTACAGGAATCAATCAGTATAATTAAACGAGAATTTTAACTCAAAGTTGGATCGTCATGTTCGGAGCCACCACTGACGGTATTTGTATATGAAGAGGCGCAATATGGCCCCCACAAATTGACCTGTCATCCCTAAGTCTCTCTATCGCCCTTTCAACCACTGGACGGACGTGCTTCCTTTTTGTAATTCCTTTTACAATAAGAAACCGCCCTCAAACAGGCATGTCTTTGCTGGCGTCGGTTGAAACTGGGAGGAAATCGATGTTTGACACGTTGCTGGTGTTTGCACGTCGTATGGAAATTTAGATATTAACCTTAGTCATGACTGGGATTTCCAAGAAGATAAAGCCTATCCAAAACTTCATTTTATTACTTAGAGGTCATTTGAATAAGAGCAAAAGATGAAGCGGCAATGTCATCTCTGACGCGTTGTGAACATAAATCCCGCCACAGAATAGCGCCAAAATATGGCTCCATTCCTTCATTGACATTTGCTCTTCCCAAACAACAGAAATATCTAACAAGAAATAATTAAATTTTATTGTAGTACGAATTAGAAAAAGTACGATTTCATAATTAAGTGACTAGAGAAAAAAAAAACACCCTGAAATGTTTGTTTACGAAAATAATTAAAGGAGGCATCCTAGGTTTGTAAGAAACGAATTACATCGATTATGCCTTACCATTTCCTAAGCACAATATAATTATTCTTGCTTGTTTAATTCTTTACGACGGGAGAGTTCTGTTATAGATGGAAGCATTTTGGCAAAAATTTAAAGTTTTCTTGATAACGTTCAACAGAAAATGCAAAATCCACGCATTAAACTGTTTGAAGGACCACAGATTGTTTACAAAATATATAAACAAATAAAAAAAGGAACAAATTGTGTTTCACTAAAAATTGAAGAAGAAATGGATCCGAAACTCATGTCCGTAGTTTGTAACTTTGACCGCAAATCTATCATTTGACCTTCGCGGTGAAAGATTATATTTCACGAATCGGTCCTTCTATGTAATTTTTTTGTGGTTGCTGATTTCTCACTTTTTTTCGGTATAGTTTGAGCTGCGGCGTCATTAAATTTATTTTGTTGTCTAGTTTTTGTACGCGACATTTCGTATTATGAAACCGAAACTAAGTTTAATTCAATTACCACACCTATTGATTTATGGATAGTTCATTTTGAAGTATCGCAGATACAGTCAAATTAAAAGCAAAATGTTTAAAAGTAACAGTGAAAGGGTACATTTAGTTTCTGACAGTTCTTACCGGGACTGGTACCGCCATGGTACTGATCGTAAGGCTTGTGTGTCTGGACGGCAACCCCGTTCATCGCATAGATAGCCCCGTCAGAAGTCTCGTAGTAAAGCCCCAATTCTTTAGCTTCGTTTTCCTCTTGTGCCTGTTGTCTCCTCAACGCTACCTGTGCCGCCATAACGCGTTGACGCTCGGCGATCAACGTGCACTTGGCACAAACGCAGTCCCGCCATCGGCAGTAGCGTTTGTGACCCTTGAGCGCCGAGACCACGCCGTGGTTTCGGCAGCGGGCGCATTTGGGAGTCCGTGGGTACGGTTTCTCGGTTCGGAGTAGCAGAGTTGGCGGATGGTGCTGATGGTGGTGTTGTAGGGAGGTGGGAGGGTGATGTACAGAGGCTGGCATGTCTGAGTTTTGTGGCTCGATGGATCCTCCTGATAGATTCATGGCATTTATACCCCAACCCCCAAAAATTTGAGTAAAAGATGTAGATTATCGATGAAATAACTCGTAAACTTCTACCACAAGCTTGTAACTTCCGATAGTTCATCAAGTTGGAGAAAAGAATGGCAACACAGTATATGACCGAGTCAGCACTGAGATCACAAGGGTCGCATGTGGCTCCAACCACGGTCACATGCTAACAGTCCAACACGGTCCTTGTTTAGTTGTCGTGTGAGTGATGTGAATTGCGGCCAGGCTTCTGCGTTGTGTGTTGTTAGTCACGGCTTGTACTCAAATTCGACTGGCCTGCCCCACGCCAACCGAACACCACACTACGTGCGTACCGTACACGATGGACCGGGGTATCAACCGTGCGAGCCGGGGCTTGACTGACAGCCTGCGATCCGCCCCCCTTTGACGCTGTGCGGTTTATTTGTTTTGTCCAGTCGGGAACTAGACCTTCAATGATACAAGTATCGGCGACACCCGATTGGCCAAGACTGCACCTGGGGCACTCGTCAAGTGTGACGTCACTCCTTGTTTTGGAATAAACACGTCAATTATAAAGCGACATACTTTTTTCTAGGTGGTTTTTTTTTTGGCGGGGGGGGGGGTAGTTGATGATACCGGATCGGTTTCCCCATCAATATCTGACGGATAGCATGCCATTAAAATCTCGTTTTCTGAAGGAAAGTGTAATTTGTTATGGCGTAAAGTTGACATGGCAACCCCTTCAACAACTTGCCAACTAACGAGGAAACGGCGCGAAGAGATAAAACGCAGATAACGAAGGGAGAGCAAGCTAATGACTTTTTGGCGATGGGCAATCTGTCACGTATACCTGCTGTGTTATTGATAACGAGTTTGCAGGTACATAATGAATGCACATCAGTAAACACACTATGAAGCAGTGACATGAATGAAATATGGTGATCACTGTAGAAAAATACAATTATAACGAGACTGACTGTCAAGTTTGACAAAAAGGATAGTAATTCACATGTAAAGCTGAATGACACTAAATGCAAATACCAGATTGGATGACAGTTTACAGACATTATAGTGACATATATAATATTAATTTACATGGTTATGGAAATTGTTCCATTTGTCACGACATGGATGTTCCATAATTAAATACTGCACAGTGGCTCGACATGATCAGTCAGATAAACAAATGAGCTAACTACAACAGAAATACTAAGTAACTGCACAAAAAAGATCATGATGCGATCAACAGGTAGACAGACATACAGTGAGAGGGTTCAAGTGACTGACTGACATTGTACATATTGAGGAAAAAGGGAACAATACCACCTTTCACTCTCTGTTGGCTTTTTTTTTGGGGGGGGGGCACCGGGTGGAAGGGGTGACAGTTTTGAGATATTTTCCTCCATGATTAACCTAAGAGTTGGTCTATGGAATATCCCCTTGCACAGCAAGGGTCTTCGATATGCGAGCAGATTAATTATGCAAAACAAGACTGCGTCTTGATCTCGAGATTCTGAACCATAAAAGTGGGTGCTTTCAATCGGGTCTTCCGTAACCCGTTGTTGTATTACAAAAACATTGCATCAAAATTAACCAATCCACACATAAATTCAGGTCATGATATACATGTAGACTGATAGCTCGCATATACAAAGTCAGCACCAAATCGAAATCAGGCCTTAAAAATTATTTGATAACGTCCGAGTCCTACACATCTTCAGGTGTTGGTCTAGGTGTATGCCAAATATAAAGGTTAACGGATTGATGTTAGTGCCCAAAGTGCTTTCCACGATGAAAACGTATACAAACTAATGATATGGGAAATGCCTGAAAAAGAAGTGGGACAAACGAAAACAAATATTGTTTCGGCAAGTTGCCGAAAGTTGTCGAAACAGCAAAAAAAAAACACCCCCCCCCAAAAAAACCCCAACAACAATAAAAAGATACTTGCTGGAAAATACTGGATCTGCGCTGTTTAATAGGTTGCTTTTCGACTCCCAAAATGAAACAGCAGGAGCGAAAATTAGGTGACGTCACGTGCGAAGGGTCTAACCCCTAAAATATTGGATATAGGACCGCGCCTGATTTTTAGGTCTCATACCATCAACATTTCTCCATTGCAAGCCCACAGTCTGCTTAGGGCCAGGATTGCGATGCGTTGCATATTGTAGTGCGTTGTGTTGCGTTGCAGTGTGTGTTGTGTTGCGTTGCAATGCGTTGCGTTACGTCTCGTTGCGTTACAATGCGTTGTGTCGTGTAATGTTGTCACGTGTTGTGTTCTGAAATAATCGACTTGCGTTGTGTTGTGTTGCGCCCAGTGATTGGATTGTTTGTGCTTGACTTTTGTCTTGACAAATTGAAGCTCGGTTTCTTATTACTTGATTTTTTAGCAACAATCTGATCAACACTGGATAACGTATACACGATACTTGTCAATACTTATCTTGCTATATTTCCCATGAAAACAGTAAACACAATATAGACCTTGATTGCAATAATGTACTGTCACGCAGCACCACGAGCCTTGCTTTGCCACCCCCGAGTAATTCACGCTCTATGACACCTTCAAGTAGGAATTGTTTCATTCAATGATGATCAACCCTAATGGGACCCCCTCACCAATTAGATAGATACCTCTCACAAACACCTGTGCCTTAAGAGACGCCACCTTTTTGATCTAAGGCTCCGGCTTTTGTGATCCAAACCTTTTGATAGTATCAAAATAAGAAACTTGCCTGCACGGATAGTGTTGTTTTCACCTGATGCATCAAAACATCTCCACCATAAGGGCGGAATATAACCTCCCAGCAGAGCTGAGTGGTGAAAAGATTAGTTTCAGTGGATTCAAACTGAATGTCCCAAGGCCTAATATTTGACTTGGTGGCAGTTTTGGTGAAAGTAAGGAACGAATTGGCAAATGATGTTTTACAAACGTGAAATATTTAATAATTTTATTCTTGTGGTAAATTGCATTATCCTAAAATATCTCTGGTTGAAAGACGACCAACGATTGGCAGCAACTTAGAAATTGACTGGTTCAGAGTTTACAAACAATATCCATTTTCTTGATAATCTTAGATATCTTTCTAAAAATGGATTCATGAAAATTTAATTACTTTATCTTTTGTTTAAAAAAAAACTTACAAAAGAATTTAGTCATATGTTTGTAGTTTTTTGAGACTCAAGGCGTTTGGTGAACATTGTTTTGTTACAAAACGTTCAAAAAACCACCCCTCCAAAAATAATAATAATAGTAATAAAAATAATAACAAATGCAACAAAAAAGTGGCCCTTTCCCATCACTCTGAAAAAAATAAAATCTGGAAAAAAGAAGAAAAATCTTGAAAACTCAATCTCTTCGATTTTCATCCTTTAAACGTTTTTTTTCTACTGTAGTGGCTTCTACGTTTTTGTTTCTCCTTTAGAGAAAAAAACCTGGTTCTTCCTGTCAATCTAGTGAAGTTCTTTTTCTAAACGGGTATCTGTTTTTTGTCTGACAGTAGCTGCTTTGGGTTGCATTTTGTCAACAGGCTTTATCCAAAGGTGTCGGCCGACAGTAAAAGCAGGGTGCCGGCTCGTTGGACCGTGGGGGTCGGCAATGTGCCTGAAAGGCGGGTGTGTTGGGGCATGTAGCCAGCCAACAAACACCTAATCATTGGCCATTTTTTTTCAAGACACGTCCGTTTGTTGCTTGTTTGCTATTGATCTTTTGTCTGGTTATTGGGTTGTTTGGTTGTTTGGATGATCATGATTGTGGTGTATATGAGAAGTCAACGGGGTGATTACGTATCTTCATAGGGCAGTATATAGTCTGGTTGACTTGAGACGTTTGAGATTTGAAGGCTTTACCTGCATTTCACACCGAATTACGAGAGAATTACGATTTGGGCAAGTAAACAATTTTTCTGAATCTGATTTGTTTGAAATTTCCTGAACGTCTTCAAAAAAGATACGACGACTATTTCTCACTTCAATCAAAAGGTATCCAGGCGCGGATCCAGGGGTGGGCCGCGGGGGCACGTGCCCCCGTCAAATTGAGTCCACAAAAAAATAAAATTAATAAAACAGGGGGAAAAGAGGGTGAGGTGAGAGAAATGGAGGGAAGGAGGAGGGCAACCTTCTAACAAAAATACCGGCCTGCAAACATTGTGTGGCCGTATGACACAGGGAACTCGAGAAGCTTCGAATTAAACCGCGATCCCACCGTACGTACTCCATACGTAACCCTGCATAGTATATCGGTTTATGAAATGCGATTCTGAGCGTATGTACCCGTACGAAAAACACGCACGTGCACTTGTGACGGCCGTTATAGTGTGCTCTTTGGACCACACTATTGGTCATGGGGGCCAGCATTTCTTCCACGCGCTTTCAAGGATCGAGTCCAAAACATGTCCGCTTCCGTATAAAATTTCCGTAGAAAATCTTATCTTGTTGATAAACTGAAAATTTAAACTTTATACAAAACATTAGAAAGCATCCTTGCAAAAGTTTACAAACTAAGTCTCTACAATTCCGTTTCAAAAATAAAATGCACGAAAACATGCAGACGAAAGTGAAAAACGAAGAAACTTAAAACGCTTGTTAAAGCAAGAGTATATATTAAACCAATGAAAAAAATGCTTATTTAACTTAAAACAATTTGCTCAATTAACTCCGGGAAAGAGGGGCCAGGAATCGCCTCAGATTGCACCACAGAGCATCTAATTATCAAAAATTTCCCGGGGCCCTAAAGCGGGCCCCGCACCCCACGCCGAAATACATTCACGCTCCGCATTATTAGTCCTCGGGGCAGATCTTCCTACAAACTAAGCCTATCCAATTCTTTTTCCAAAATAAATTGCAAGAAATTGATAATGCCGTCGAAAATACCTGGTTATCAAGTAAAGAACAGAAGAAATACAAGAGTACAATTTTAAACCAATGAACAAAAAATAAAGAAACACATGGTGTTACCGCAAACCGAAGCGATAATGAAAAAAAAATCCCAACAATCTTTACAACATTTTACTGAAAAGGGGCCAGAAATCGCTTTAGCCTGCACCACAGAGCATCTATAGAATCAAAAATTTCCCGGGGCCCTTGAGTAGGCCCGCGCCCCGAACCCCACGCCTTAAAACTTGTAAAAACATTAATGTATATTTTTAAAAAAATCCTCATAAGCTTTACAACTTTTGCTCAAATAATTCAGGGGGAAAGGAGCAAGGAGTCGCCTCAGATTGCACCACAGAGCATCTAGAATCCAAAATTTCCCGGGGCCCTTAAGCGGGCCCCGGACCCCACGCCGTAAGGGCTTCGCGCTACGCGCTCGCATTATACATTAGTCCTCGCAGCAAATGCTCTAAAGGTGT